ATAATCAGATAGGATGAACGCTTTCCTGCCCAAGTTACTTTTACTCATGGTGTTTATCAACTCAATAGATAGAAAACTAAAACACTTGTGCATTAGTTACTCCTTTTTAGTTGGATTTAGACATACATTATTTCAAGTAGGAGAAACTGTATACCTTCTAGTTTCTGAGTGGTTTAAAACTCAATGGACTGGTATTTCTGTGATATGACTCCAACAACCTATTGTGAAAAGTGCAACATTTACATATGGTATTCCATACAAATATTTCAAAATGAAAAGTTTTCCATACAATGAATCACTTTCCTAAACTCAATGACATGTGATATAAACTATCAAATTTGTCAAACGATGAATGAATTTAAAGTTGTGCTATTTACTTCCTCTGCTCGATATTCAATTCATAACACACTAAGATTTCCGCATGGTGATCTGCTTCCACCTGTGCATGAGAATTACCTTAGAGTTCTCTGAGGAGTCTTGCATTGGTTTTCAATGTTTCGGTCTCCCCGCTTGTTTCCTAAAATATAGGCCCAGAAAAATAAGTATAAGTTACAAGAATTTACATAAAACATATTTTCTAGTTTCAGTCAGTGTACAGTGTGGGAATCTTTACTTTTTTTTTTTATAACAAATTCTACCTTTCCCGCATGTCAGAACAGAGAACAGCATCACTAACACTCATGCTCTCATGACTATGTGACATTCTTACCCACACAAGGGAGGTTCCTGTAGGTTTCCAGCATTACATCTCTGTACAGACGCTTCTGAGAAGAATCCAGCAAAGCCCACTCTTCCTGGGTGAAGTTCACAGCCACATCCTCAAAGGTCACTGAGTCCTGAACATCCCACATATGAAAGAGAATGACATAAGTAAGCTGTGGGGGATTCTAAAACCTGAGTGGGACGGGTAGGTGATGAAGGAAAAAAGACACAGACACAGAAACAGCTGGGATCAGGAGGACCTGTGGGCTGATGACCAAACAGGAGCTTTATTGTGGAATTACAGTGCTTATATACCTTGCTCAAAGCTGGTCATGGTGGCACACACCTTAGTATCAGACCACTCACGTAGGAGATAGTGGTAAAAAGATCAGTCAGAACTACCTACCTCTTAGATAAAGAGGCCACTATTAAGTCCATTAACTATGAAACGTTATGGAAAGGGGGACCATCCGGCGCCCCATAGGGTCGCCACTTCCTGACCGAGCTAAGCCCATTCGCCCTGCCTTCACGGGAGCGCCGGGCTGAAGTGCTGCCCTGCAATCCGAGTGCTAGAGTGGGAGGGACAAGAGCCGACTGGTGGGAGATGCTGGAGCCTAGCTGAGGGCAGGGGACATGGAGGACCCTCTGGGAGGTGGTTGCAGCCGCGACTCACAGGGGTTTTATAGGCCTGAAAGAAGAGAAGTGTCAAGACGCAGTAGCCATTTACAAGCAGCGACATGCCCAGTCCAACTAGCCAGTCTCCCCCCAAGAAGCTCAGATAATTCAGACCAAGAAGAGAAAAACAGCACAGGATGTTAAAAAAAGACAAGAGGGGATCACCAAGAAACATCAGTTTGAGATTAGGAATTGTTGGCCACCTGTATTGTCTAGGGGATCAGTCCTTGCATTATCATTGAAACACTTCACAAAGAAATAGAAACAAGTGACTTCCCCAGATTTACAAATTACAGATTTAAAAATCTTTTTATTAATCCTTCACCTCTGCCAGATTTAAGTTGGGGATGTTCAAAGGAGGTTTGGCTAAACATGTTAAAAAAAGAAAGCAGATATGTGCATGACAAGCATTTTGAAGTTCTACATCCTGACTTGGAACCACAGATGAGGTCAATACATTTAGATTGGCTTTTAGAGGTATGTGAATTATACACACTTCACAGGGAAACATTTTACCTTGCACAAGACTTTTTTGATAGATCTATCTTGACACAAAAGGATATAAATAAAAACATGCTTCAACTCATTGGGATTACCTCATTATTCATTGCTTCCAAACTTGAGGAAATCTATACTCCAAAACTCCAAGAGTTTGCTATGTCACTGATGGCACTTGCGGTGAAGTAGATATCTTAAAGATAGAACTCAATATATTAAAGGCTTTAAAGTGGGAACTTTGTTCTGTGACAGTTATCTCCTGGTTAAATCTTTTTCTTCAAGTTGATGCTGTTAAGGACGCTCCTAAACTGGGCGTGGTGGTACAAGCCTTTAATCCCAGCACTTGTGAGGCAGAGGCAGGTGGGTCTCTGTGAGTTCAAGGCCAGCCTGGTCTACATAGTGAGTTTCAGGCCAGCTGGGCTACAGGGAGACCCTATTGCAAAAAGACAAAAAAGTCAAGTGTGGTATACCCCTTTAGTACCAGCACTCAAGAGGCAGAAGTAGGTGAATATCTGTGAGATCGAATCCAGTCTGGTCTACATTGCAAGTGCCAGGTCAGCTGGGGCTACAGGGAGACCCTGTTTCAAAAAGACCAA